CATTTTGAATGAGATATTCTGTTTAGCATTCAAATCAAATTGAAACTTGTACCAGCAATGTATCATCAAATGATGATAGTTAATATAATCACTGGAGTTGCTTCTTCAAATGCAGTTTGCATTTTCTTAGCACAATGTAAGGAGCAAAATTGTACTGTTCAATAAAGGGGTAAGTTTCAAAGGAAACTGTACTGTTGCATCGGTGGGAGAGTATAGCAGGTAATTTAGTGCTAACAACTGGGTTGAAAACATAAATTAGCCACCGTAAAGAGTAAAAAAGCTGATGTCGGCTTGAAACGTCAGCTTTTTTACTCTTTACGGTGGCTAATTTATGTTTTCAACCCAGTTGTTAGCACTAAATTACCTGCTGTACTGTTCAATAGATCACCTGTTTATTCTGTCATTGAAATCAGCAATGAATCAAATTGAGATTATTATTATTATTAGTATGTCAACATAGAATGGAGGGTAATTTAAAAATTTGATCATGTTTACCTTTCATCTTAGGGACTTTATGAGACAGAAGGAGTGAGAGTAAATTGTATCTGTCCAAGCTATACAGAAACAGATTTGTTTTGGTCCTCATTTAATGAAAAGCGAGCCAAAGAAACTCCAAACTTTCAAACAGTTTTAAGATATGGACTAATCAGGTATCTAAGCAGAAGTCATACCAAGAGCATGTGTTGGATATAAATTTAGGATACTTTTAGAAAAGGAAACTTTGCTGTCATGTTGTAATTTTGATCTGCCCCTGGCTGGTTTCAACATCACTAGGTTTTTTTTTCACGACATAATCCTGTAGCAGTGAAAAGTGCATTTTTTTCTTCTTTTTTGTAGGGGAAAATACAATGTTGCAATATGTAAAATAAGGATTTTTATCTCTGACAATAACAGAGGATTTTTGACAATTTAATTTCATCAAATACTACAGTCACCCATGTTGAATTCATGTATTCCGTATTTTAGGCCTGAAGTTATTGCCACAGGAGTTATACAGCTGATTGAGAAGGACAGTACTAATGCAGCAGTGATGATGGTGACTAAAAACAGAGGAATTGAGATCATGAGACCAAGGGGATCAAGAATATCAAAACTATGAATTGTTAATTATTATGGAGATGATTTAATCTTAAATGAGACAAAAAAAGAACAAAAAAAAAAATTAGCTTAATCCATTAGTTTTGAAAAAAGATAGTTGAGAGGGAGGATACCAATGTGAGAGGTGTTTATAATTTTTTTTCCAAAGTACAAATCCATTTTTGATTGTTTTTCAGAGCTTTGTTGAAGATATTTTATTAAGTACGTATTTTGCTAAATAATAAGTGATCTAGCAATCAGTTAATGTGAATTGTTTACTCATGGTCATTTGATAAGTCTGTCAATTAGTCCATCAAGGAAGCACAGTATGGTCTAATTGATCTGAGAGCTAATTGATTAATCAATTGAGTGGACAGTGAATCAATGAGACAATGAATCAATTAATTAATCAATCAGTAAATTAACCAATCAGAAAATCAATCTAACAATCAATCAGTCCACCGATCAATAAATTAAGCTGTCAATCATCCAATCAGTTGATTAATCACATTTTTTGCCGCTTCCGTCAACTTACGAAGCTTAACTAAAAAAATATATTTTTGATACTTTTCATAACGGTGAAAATTCACAAATATGTTGGCTATGGGGAAGAAAAAACCCTGTGGGAATTGTAGCCCTCTCTTATTAGCAAGTAATCATAGAGGGAAGATAAAAATTTTTTAAGCCCAGGTTTGCCAACGTACAATTTACCCGAATCGTGGTTTTAATATGTATAATTTATGAAAAAAAGGCCTCCATTTGTCGCGAAAATCTGCGCAGACCCCTATCCTGGGACACTTATGTTTTGATAATCGAACAAATGATGTTCAAGGACAACTATTAAAACATAGTTTACTTACGCTATTTTAGAATTAAATGCTTACTAAGAGCCACGATGGATTTTCCCAGCGTGGGCGTGGGATGTTGCCTGTTCTGTCGTCTTTTTGTACGTTTTTATAAACACTAGTGTTCGCCTCTTCTTTTGCAGCAATAGCGAAAAGCTCTACCATGTGAGGTTTGCCAATTGGGGAGTATATATCATTTAAATAACGAGCGCGAGATTTCTGTTGAGTGATTTTTGGGGGCGATTTCCAAATCAACCACCTTGTTATTTTATGTTGCTTACAATCACTCACTGTTACGCCACTCACCTTCACAATTGCCTATTACAGAAAAGACGGCGATTAGGTAGCCAATCAGATCGCAGTAGTTTTGATAAAGTGCAAACAGATTTACACCAACACCGGAAATTCCCTTGTTTCAGCATGGGCATATTTCATCACGTGATGTGTTTAGGCCGATCGCACGTGAGCGAAAATTTTGATATATTTTTTTTTTTTTTTATGTGAGTACAGCTACCGCGATGTTGCCGGTGGTTTGTGAATAGTAGGCTGTTATCAGGAAGTACCATTTAGCGTGATTAAGCCATACCAGGTTATCGTGACAATAAACTCAGGATTCCAGCTGATCCTCCCACAAGTGGTAACAATTGTTGACATTACTCACACTCAGGGCTGGTAGTTTAAGCGAAGTCTTACTTTACGAGTGACTAGCATCTAATTTCTCTCTAAAATATCACCCCTGAATTACACATTCATTTACAAGAATAAATGAAATGATCACCTACTAAAGAGGCTCTTGACTGTTAAACAAGTTCTCTTTGTCAGCAACTTAGGAAACGTGTACAGAACAGTATGGAGAATATGCATACTGATGTAAGGGTGTAAAGGATTAATCGATAAACCTCGAGATTGCTCTCGTAATTTAGGTGTTGTTTGCATTTTAAAATTCATTTGGAATCAGTCAAAAATTAACAAGCCTTCTTTACCTTAATCACTGTTTCCAAAAATAAACATTTAATTATAATAGACGTTTGACGATATCAAAGGATGGGTTTCATCGCGTTCTTGATAAATGTTGGCCAGACTTTGTCGGAATAAGAGGCGATTGACGTTTCTCTTATGTCCTAGCTCTCATTTGATGAATTTACAGAAATATTTGACATGATCAAAGTTCTGCCGAAAATCTTCATCTGATGTTTAAGAGACTGCACGTTTCTCTAGCACTTGGGAAATTTATGAGAATTCATCGGTGGAGATTTACTTGCTTAGCTTTCTACATGGCACGCGATAAGTTTTTTGAGCACTAGCGAATCCTAAGGATTTGCCCTTGCTACCCAACTTTGCCCTTACATCTATGAGGAGTTCAAGTCTAAGAAATCCGCGAATATTATCAATTCTGTTAAGGAAATTTGTAGAGCTTCATCTCCATTTTCGTGCCCCCCACGGACCTTTAAGGACCTTTCAAAGGTCCAAAGACTGAAAACTAGAAATGAAACCGAGATGCATCCCCCTTCTTTTTTCTCCTTTTTCCTTTACTTTCCAGTACAGAAACTGTAAGAAAACTTAAAGACTGAACTTTTTTCGGTTGAAAAACAAAATATTTGAAACAGATAAAGTCGAGATACGTTGGTTGAGTGGTTCAGACGGTACGACCACTCAGCAGGGGTGGCCTGGTACGACTTGTCAGTCACGTGACTGGAAGCCATGTTTGGAAGAAAGTTTGGTGGCCGCTCAAGATGGCGGGTAGGTTCTGAATTCCGATGAGGTATTCGTCCCATTTCAGCACTAATTATCCGTTTCTTTTCAGATATACAATTTCACATAGAGAATACTGATGGTCCAGAAGAAGAGGACCAAGAAGATGGTACGTTTTGTTTAAAATCTCCCTGGAAAAGCGGCATTCGTTTTCTACAACGCATCGGTTTTCGTTAGTTTCACGCTTCAAAAGTAACGTATTACTCAATATCTTGATTTCGCAGAGGGATATGAGATGGATCAAGACGAGACGTCATTACACTGTTATGCCTCCGCTGAAGAACCAATGAGTCCTCTCAATAGAATGGAAAGATTTATGTTGAGCGACATAATCGTAAATCGGTAAGTTTGGTAAAGTTCATGCCTGCATCCGCTCTGATCTGCTTTGCACGTGTGAATAAAAACCACGTCTACTTGTTGTACTTTCGTATGTCTGTTGAACCTTCCTTAATCAAATATTTTATTTGCAACAATTTTCTTGTAGACAAATGGCAGCTAGATGTTGTCAAGACGCTTTAAGAGCGAGCAAGGCGAAGGAAGAAGTTTATCATGTGTTGAGGCTAATGGTTCGCTTATCGGACGACATAGGTAAGACCTTCATACATAACTCCTAGTTTAGCGTGAAGAACCCACATTAGAGATAACGGTCTCTGCATGTCATGAATTCGAGAAAAGCTTCTAATTTAGTTTTTAATCTTGTTTGAACTTGGAAGAATCATTTATTTTTAACCCATCTCAGCGGAGTCCATATTTTTGCGGTGTACAATTTTGAACTCTTTATCGCAGCGGGTAAGGCCGGACTACGCTTTTGCTATATTTGAAAGAAAGAAAAGGTGATAAAAAATTGTTGGTAGTTGAATCTGTTCGTCGACTGTGAAATAATTATTACTAAGCCATACGGTAGACTTTAGAAGTATAGCATGTATTATTTCGTCCCAGTTGTTCGTCTCGTCGTGTTTGAAATTTTGCTAAACAAAATGAAGGCAATGTTTATGTTGATCCCGCTAATGAATTACAATTTTATTCTACTAATAAGAGTCGGTTGATTATAAAAGAAAACCTCAGCTATTTAGAATCACGATCATTTGATTATAAGATAAGATATGTTTAAAAATTCACAATTATTCGTAGCTACTGTACATCTGTACATGTGTGTAAGGAATAGCTGCATTTGGGAAGAGCCTAGACAAATAAAAGAATTATTTCACAATCAAAATATTGACACCTCAGCTACGTAGTTCTGACGAATGTGTACTTGTATTTAATTTAAATATTAGTCATGGTCTAAAAAGATAAGCTAAGTGCATTTTCAGAAGATAATATCATTGTATTTCTTTAGTGTGGTTGCACAACAAGAAAGTCATAATTTATATGTAATGATTTACTCATTAAGACGGGTCTAAACCAATTTGTTGGGTTGTTATGGTTTGAAATTGTTAAAAATGAGCTTACCCTAAGATTTTATGCTGGTCATGGTATTAACTACTTGTATTATCCAACTATACATGACTGCAGCAGCAAAGAAGCTGCTATTTTGTATTCCATACACAGATTTGGGCAGGATGCATGCACAGCCCCATGAATACAGTTCTTGGATAAAGAAATAGTAGATTGCCTTTGGAACTATGGCTTTGTCTATGAATTGCATGGGTTATCCAAAAAATCTTTCCTAGATTTCTACATAGAGTGCTTGGTTGTGAAGTGACATTTTTAATGGGAGACAGGAAAGTGGTGTGAAGAAATATAGCCCAAATGCAGAGGTTTCATTAAAAGCCAGTAAGGGGTGGTATACCCCCACCTCTTGTTGCCATCTTTTAGGCCCAGGAACAGACTTTTTTGTTTGGATTTTGCTTTACTGCACAGCTATAGATTTTACCAGGAGCAGCCACTTATGGAAAAATTTGTTCAAACTTCTGTGCAAATGTGAAAAAGGGTACACAAGTACATTGTATTAGTTAACACCTAGTGCTTGCTATTAGTTGCGTTAGTGCAAGAAGCTTCAGTATCATTCAATGTGTCCCCCTCTATCAAAGAGTAATTAGAGGTACCAGCAATCTGAGTGGGAAACTTAGGGAAATATTTGTGGATAACCCTCATGATGAGGAAACAGGACTTAACAGGAAGACTTGACAACAATTTTATTTTATCTTTTAGAACCATCTGTTAGAGTGGAGCTGATGGAGCAAGTCCCGCATGTAGCTGTGTACTGCTATGAGCATCATTCAATGATGGAAGCTGTGCCTCAGTACATTTTATTCATTGTGCTGCGGTTTTTGACAGATTCAAACAATCAGGTAGATTAAATTCAGAGTAAATTCCATTTTAAGCCTCTTGACATTTTTGATTTGCCATGAAGAATTATTGCTTGAGCAAATGGAGTGATCCTGAATGTTTTTGATAGTTCGGATGTATGTATTTGAGTGGACGAAGGAAGACCTTCCAGAGAACATTACCTTGGTGGAAGTAGAGATTGTAAAAGAGAATAATTACTTTTAAATCAAAGAATAACATGTATGTTCATGTACAAAAAGTTTGTCAAATAAGGTTAAAACCGTTAGATGAAGTGACCTTTCTAAAAATACACGAACCAAGAAAAATGTAGATGTTTTCAACTGTTTCACTTTAACCTTACTGTTCCTTTTTTTGCTTTTTTTTTTCAGTAATATTTTTAGTGTGTGTAAGGTTCTCAGCTATTAATAGTAATTTCTGAGACTCTATACAGCTGTTTAAATACATGTATATTATGATGCAATCTCTTTAAATGAGAGGAAATGCCACTCATATTACTTTTCTCTTGGCGTGTCAGACACAGCTTTAAATTGGCTGGAAATTAGCTTTACTATAATTCCTTTTTAGCCTCTTGCAACTAATGAAAATGTGCTGGTTGACTCAAGAGACCTTTGATTTTATGTGTAAAACTGAAAGTTGTTATTGCTTTGTTTTTTGATATTTAGGTTCGAAAAACAAGTCAGGCTGCCCTATTGGTTCTGTTGGAACAGGAAGTTGTGGAAAGAGGTGAAAACAAATCTTGTTATTCATTTCATTTTACTCCTGATTTGCTTCTGAGTTATTTATTTCTTTGGGTTAATATTCAGGTTTGCTCTGGTAACAAATTCAGTCAACTCTTAGTACACGTATATAATTATGTAACAAATAAGTGACAGTTTGACTTTTGATTACAATAATTGGTAAAGAAAATAAAACATTAATAACAAGAAAACCTAATAGAAACCATTTACAAGACAAGACAAAACAATGCTTTATTTGTATAGATCACTAAAATTCAATTATAATAATTCTTTTATTTTACAGTATCGTTGATTAATTCAAAATGTGTTTCTAGTATCAATATGCTAATGTTTCT